CAACTTCTTCTGACTGTGTCATCAAGTCCAATTGCAAGTACAATTATCAGCACAGTCAGAGCTCAAACAAGCTCTCTTTTCATTTATAAGATTGTGGTTTTGCTGCACTGCAGGACAAAAATTTGCTGGGACAGACTCATGTTCACTAGGAAATTCAAGGAAACTGAGGACAAGAAAGGAAAAAGGATGCCAGGAAGTTTAAGGTGAACATTATCTCAAGAGAGTAATTCTGGGCAAGTGACTATTCAGTCCTAAATATATTATGTCAAAGACATTAACCCTCAGGAATAAAGAGGTGGGGAAATTAATGCATAAAAGATATTTTGTATATAAAATACAAAAGGTATATCCATCTTCTCTCTCTCAGGCTGTTGGCAGAGTGTAGGTTAGAAATACTCTCTATACAGCAACCAAATTCTTTTTTCATCTTTCTATAGCTTTCACTTGTATTTCATCCATTGCTGTTCTTCAGTATCCATTTGGAAAAAATACGTACGTTTTTTCTAAATTTTGATATCAACGAAAAAAACTAAATTGAAACAATACCAATCCTTCACAAAACTGAACACATTGAGTTTCCCATTCATATCTTGAGGAAAAAATAGCAACACTCAGACATCTCCTAGCTGAAGTGACACACTTGGTATTAAAAATCCCTCAAACAAAAAAAAGTCTTCAGATGTTCCAGATGAAGATGACAATTTATGCTGTTCCTTAAATCAGGCATCCTCAAAACAAGTCAATATATCAGATCATCCCTTCTTCCCAAGATGCTGACCTTAACACTGCCCTATCTTCTTTTTGACGAAACAGCCTAGTTTGAGACAGAAAACAAGTTATATAGTTCTAGTCAAAAAAGGAGCAAGCACAACCACTCTGAATTCCTGGATGCCATCTACAACTAATAGAATGTTAAGAATATTTATAGCTGGAAAACATTAGCACTACATTAAATCTCACCCAAACACTAATAACAAAGATCTAGTGTGATCCCAAACACCACTCAACCCATTAAAGAAGAATGAAATATGGTGCTCTAATTTCGCTCATTTCTCATCTATTAGCAGGGCAATACAAGTATCAAAATCATTTAGAAATAGAAAAGTTATATTCCTAGGAAAAAGCACTTTTTCTTGTGTGTATATATATATACAATTTTTAAAGGTTATGAAAAGGCCAAAAAGACATGGGCAGGTGACGTACAAGGAAGTTGCTCATAGCGTATGAGTCATCCTACTTATTCTGTAGGATTTACAGACGAACCGAAACTGCAGACGGCATTTAAAGCACAAACAGCCCACCACGTTGTTGTGATTAAGTCACATGAAGTCACTCAGAGCGTTCCTGACAATCTTTTTGCTCCCTTGTTGTAAAACTGTATCAATAAACATTTCTGCTGGTACCAAGTAAGTTTTGCCCAACAAAAGATGGGCTGGCACTAAGTTGGGTAGAACGGATAGCCGCAGTCTAAAAAACATTTGAAAATGTTTACCTTTAGCTGGCCCAGAGGTGTGGTGCCATACAAGAGACTAAGTTCAGGATGAGACTAACGACTCTCACGTCCTGGGCCAGTGGAGGCTGGACACATAGCTGAGGTGACACACCAAGGAAGAGACGGCCAGCCCAACCCCTCACAGAGCATCCCTTTCTGGTTAATCCATGGAGTGACAATGACATTGATTTGCCTCATCCTGCCAGTTAATGGCAAGGCACTGCATTGATGGCTCCTAGAAATGGACAGGAGTGATCGGGAATAAAAGGGGGGGAAGAAAGGGGCCATGATGAAGAAACGAGTAAAACCCAGAATCTCTCACCATCTCATTGTCATGCCTTACACTGTAATATCGTAACTACATAGGGAAAGTGAGAACTAGAAACAAAAATATAAGTGGTTAATGAGAAGGAAATTTGTTGACCATCTTAAATTAGGTAGTTATCCAAATATTATTTTTTCCTCCTAAAAACAAAAAAGAAAAAAAGCACATGAACTACAGCAAACAGGTATTTTAGAAGCTATTTAGTCCATAACCCTGTAGCAAGAGATAGAGAAATTGTGTTTGATATCCTGGCACTGCTTTATTTTGTCAGGCATACATTCAAATTTTGTTTTGTTTTTACAGCTTTTTATGTGTAAATAAAGTATTTATTACTCACCAAACAATGCCCTGTGCCCCTGATCCTATGGGCTTCAACTGCTGGTAACGTTTTAGTACAGTGAATGTTGAATCTGCAACTTGAACACTGTAAAACTGACTATCACATTTACTGTCACTCATGGTGTAGTGTCATGTAGTTTTCTCTCTCAAGCACCTGGTATAGTTTTCAAGATCTTAAAGAAAAAGAAAGAAAATACATGTTCAATTTCTCTCTAGTTCTAGGCAGACACGTTAAAAAATATATATATTTTAATACATAGGAATTTTTCAATATTGTACAATTAAATAAGCATTCTTTCAACTTTGTGTATTACCACCGCTATTGAATAATACCCACAAACAAGACAACAAATAATTATAGCCTTCACAGCTTTATCTAAGTTTGTATCTCTATTCCAGTGCCCCAAAACAAAGAGTAGTTAACTAAACAACTGTAAAAACAAACAAAAGAAATCCAAAACCAACTCCTCTTTCTCTATTCATTAAAAGATACTCCATAACATAGAATTTCTACTCTGGGCTAGGACTGCATTTTCTGTAATATTACAGTAAAAACCATAAACAATGCCTTTCAAAGACAGAGAAAAGCATCAGCAGAAGCCACATGGAGGCCAATGACACAGGAAGCAAAATGCAAGATGTAATTAAAACTGCAAAAACAGTTTTGAAACAAAACAGTCCCAGTAGCTGCTGCAGTTTCTTCAAGTCCCACTCATCTTCCTTCAAACTAGTTCACAAGTATCAAATTTCCAGCAGGGCATTACCTCAACTCTGCCAGGTGACCCTCCTTTGCCCCATATGTATTGCCACCCACTCTCCTCTTCCTACCTCCCCCTTTAAAAAAAAAAAAGCACAACAATATCCTGTATTATCAGTTAGTGTACTTACAGTCCTACAAGAATTATATAGTAACTTTCATGTCATAAGGAAAAATAAGTTACATCCGTATGCATTATAGTATTTGGGAATAGCTTTTGTTTGTTAACCACTACTCTTTAGACGCTCACTAGGAAACTATATGCAAAAAGAAACACCATTTGTGAAGTTATATTCTGAAGTCAACCTCTCTTAAATACTTCCCAAATACTTTCGCTCTCAGAACTTCAGCTGGACAACTTCAAAGACCTGGGCTGAACGGAAAGAGTCCAGAGAACAGAAAAAGAGCCTGATTAAAAGCTAAGCGACCCAAGAGAAAAAAGGTCAAATGAACTGGGGTTATTTATCCAGAGGAAGAGATGAGGAACGTAACTTCCACATGCACAAAGACTAAAGAAAAGAGGAATGAAATAATCTGTTCTCCACATACATGACAGATGTGATAATTTTAGCAACAAGCTACAAAGATTTTGATTAGCTTTGAAAGGGGAAAGGGAGGAAGAACAAACAAAATCAACTTGTAAAGGTAAGAGCAGTGAAGCACTAGAGTAGATTCCCTAAGGAAACTGTAGACACTTCTTCATTGTAGTTTTCTATTATACTAACATCTGTCAAGAACGAATTAGATGTAGGTAATTACATCACAGAGCAAGGTAATGGACTAAACCTCTTTAGCTCCTTTCAAACCTTACAGCTCTACAGTAACAGGAGTACAGACATCCCGTTTCCAGTGCACCCACTCTCTTCAAGCCTTACAAAATAATTACCCCAGGAATTCCTGAAAAAGCCTCCAGCAAGTTTTCAAATTTTTGTTTTCACAATCAATACGGCAGAGACATTATAGCCCAGAGTAAAAGGAATAGTCAAGCGTTCCTTAAAGCAGGAAATGAAACTGTATCACCTTCCCCTTAGGCAGCTGTCCTAACCACCAGTCTGTACCCTGTCTTTTTTAGACAAAAGAGCAGTTACTGTATCTCTCCCTCTCACTGGCCTAATGAATATTTGTGACTCAATGCAAAACAGAAAAGCCTCAAGAGCAACACAGACCTCCATCTGGGAATGGCACAGAGCCATAGGAGTGGCTTTAAGTTACTTCAAGCAGATGAAGTAGTAAAACCTGGAACCTCTCTCTTCCTACATGACAGCTGTGTGAGCAAGAGGGAGCATCTTTTTCATGGCCTACGCCAGAAGATAAATTCCAAAAAAAATATCATTTTGGCTTTGCAAGTAAAACAGGAAAGCTGTAAATCCTAATAGAGGCTGGGTTTAAATGAGTAATGGTTAGACCTAAGGGATCCTCAACATTCTGAAGAAACATCAAGAATCCCTTATAAATTCCAGTATCTCAAAATTGCAGTAGCATTGAGAAGTGATATTTAACTTTGGGGGGAAGGGGTGGAGGACTAGCAAAAAGGACAACGTGAGCTACCAATTCCCTGCCTGTGCCAGCAGTTAACTGAGGGGGACGGGCAGGGAGGAAGAGAAATGCAAGTCTCCTATACAACACTTTCAGGTGCAGTCAGATGCACAGGGAGTTGCATACCAAAGCATTACGTAGGCACTAATACCATTTACAACATCCCCTGCATGGATAAACTCTAGGAGGATAGTCTTCCTTTAAGCAAAAAGCATAAGAAACTCAGTTGGTTGACAGAGTATTAGCTGAGGAACCCACCAGAAAGGGAATCACATGCAAACACAGATTTTTTTTATTCCAAAGCTAACTCTAACGTATCAAATTTTTTGATTAACAGTCACTGAGCAGCTTTGGTGTCTTCAGTAAATCTTCACACATGGGAAGAAAGGTATGACTGGAGAGGCAAGATAAGAAGAAAGGTCAAGATCCTACCTTTGGCAAAGATTTTCAGAGGGGAAAAAAGTATAAAGTTTGAATAAGCTGGGCATCAAGTCAAAAAAATAGTTATTTATGTGAAAAAACAAACTGTACTTCTTCATGGGTTAATGAAGCACTTTCTTGTTACAGAGATAAAGTTGGGTAAAAGGAAGTTACCCTGAACCAAAGAAACTCTCACTTAGAGGAACCTTGCCTGTACAAAACCATCTTTCAAAAATACTTCATTTAGAAAACAGGATAAGCTCTTTGGACAAGACCTAAAGAGAAATAACGTGCAGCTTTTATGTATTTTGACATCCTTTCGAATTCACAGTGCTGACTACCCAGCTTCTCCACAAAACATGCAAGGGAAGAAGCAAGCTGAGTCCTAATTCTTACTTGGGCTGCAAGCTGTTCAGAAGCATTAGGACATATGCTGTTTCAGACATACCCATCAGTGGAAAGTTAGGTGCGTAGGGACTGTAGGTGTTCACTGGGCTTAAGGCAGAGAGTCTATTTTGGGGGCCAGACCCCTTGAGTAAAAACAGATTTTCCATTGCTCAAAAGCCAAGCCCTGAGCTGTTACTCTCCTACCCAAAATACTTTGATTCATCACTCCTGTTAACAGGACACATAACAAATTCCATGCTTCTCCTATAGAGAAATCATTTGGAAGTAGACGTATTTCAACTGCAGAAACACACGTTTTCAGTTACAGCTTCCTAGCTGCAGCTACAAACACGATCAGCACCAAAGTGCAAAACATTCATTCATAGGACGATCAGCAAACATACTTCTACATATTGATAACAGCATGTTACTGAATTAAAATGAGTCAAGATTGAAAGAATCACCACAAACCTAATTCAGCACATCACATGCAGTAATCGTAAAAACACCTACAGGAGTTGTTTTCAACCTGCAGTCCGTGAAAGATAATTAGAGAACTAAAAACCCCAAACCTACCACAGTAGGCTTATGAGTTGTTATACAGAATTCCACTTCCCAGTGGAAAATCTGGGGCAGCCAACAAATTTAAAAAAGGCTGAAAGCAACTGCACTATAGTACACATACTGTATTAAATAGTCACTTCTCTAAGAAGCTTTTATTAAAATGGCAACTTCTTATTAACCAGATCTGTCCTCTGGATATCTTCAAGTCAAAAGCTTCTGAAACAAACAGGTTGTAACAGTTGTGAATACATTCCCAGCGTTGTTTTGGTTACAGAGTGGCATTAATGACAATGAAGGCTAAATACTTAGCTAGATTTTTAAACCTTGAGCTAAAATTCCATCACTGGCAGTGAGAAAAGTGTGTATAATATAAACAAATAAATACATACACATATATATATTTGTAATCAGGTGGACTGTTTCTAAACGAACTGGATGAAGACACTAGGGGGGTATGATACAGAAAGCCCGTGTGGAAAAATCTCCCCCTTCCTCCATTCTCTTATTCACATTTATAAATGCATTTCAAATTAGGACGCCCTTTTCTAAGGCACATTAAGATAAAAAGGTAAAAACCGCCTTCAATAGCAATAAATCAACAGGTATAAATCCAGCTTGCAGAATCATTACAATTTACCCCATATCACTTCACTTACCAGCCTGGAACAAGTCTGCTACAGAACATAAGTGCAGCAAAACAGTAACTGACATTAGTCAGTTACAGCAGTCTAGAAATACTCCGTATCAATTTAGCACTTTGAAAAAAAGTTTTTTTTTTTAATTTCCAAAACTACTAGTGACAAAAGTCTTTGTAAACAACTACCTGTTATAGCATTATCTGGCTGTCAATAAAACGCTGAAGACAAACCCTGGATGCACCTCAGCTCTCCTGCTAGCACGACTTGGCAGAAGGAGGAAAAAAAAAGTTTAACCGTGCATCTGCTGTAACAAATCACGCTGTTTCAAGATTACATAAGAGCCGCATAACTAAATACGAATACTTCTAAAATCGCCTCCGCTGCGAAGTTGCTCTGGCTCAGCAGGAGGCTGGCGCTCGCTGCCTGAGAAGCACCGCATCGGCCTGGCCCCCGGGCCGGCCGCATCGTTAGGCGGCGCGGGGCAGCGGGG